GTACCGGACCGGGACCGGCAACGGGATCGCAACCCTCGGCGTTGCCCCCGCGCCTCGCTCAGCCAGTGAGCGGGAACCGGTCTGTATGTGGGATCCGAACCCTCGGCGGGAGCACCTCCGCACTTCCCAAGTGGCGCACTAGCGCAGTGCGCCACCGGGCCAGCCCCTCTAGCTACATCTTTTTGAGGTTCACAGGAACTGAATCGGTGACTTGACTTCATGGAGGACGGTCAGCATGGATCAGCTCCCACCCCGCGAAGTGCTTAGATGTTCTTCTGCGATTTTATGATTATGCCTGCATGTCCCTGCTTAGATCACCATGAATCAGCCCCCCACCATCTGTCCCTATAAAACCCTTTGGCGAGTCTGGGACAAGTGGAGATGGCCTTTGAGACACGAGTCCACCATGTCCCCAGGCTGCCGGCTTCCTGATTACGGGCCACCTTTCCTTACACCAACACTTGTCTCGCGATTATTGGCTATTGAGTGGTGAGCAAACGGAACTTTGGGGTTTCGGTAACACATGGACTTTTCCAGAAGCACATCAAAGCCAGGGTTGGTGGCCGAGCAGATGGTGGGGAAGAGGGGCACACAGGAGGAACAGAGCTTGGAGCCTGCGTCCAGAGATCCTGTGGCTTTAGGACTTCAAGTCATAAGCAAGAGTCAGTGCTTGTGTTGGGACAGGTGCGCTGGGCCCAGCCTTCTAGGAGAACAGAGGTGGGGCTGGGTGAGGTCCCTGAGGAGCACAGGCCTGGGGCTCGGTGGCTCTTAGCCCCTCCACAACAAATAATAAGCCACCCTCTGTGTTCCCAGGCTGGACGGCAGGGGGCACCAGAGACCTCCTAATTTTCCTGCACTTCAGAGGCACCGGCAGCCGCCCCTTCTCTGCCTGGTGGGCACAAGGCTGACAGGTGGCTGTTGTCCAGCTTTGTCCACCGAGGCCAGTCTTGTGCAGCCAAGCACCTTCTCATCCCAGGCAGGGGTGACCTCCAGAAACCTCTGATGTGTCCATGGAGATGGGGGCGCTGTGAGAGCAGGGGCTGGGAGCAGGGGACCTGCCCCACCCCCAGGTGGCGGGGGTCAGCTGTGTTTCAGAACAGAGTCACCTGGAGAGATTTCAAAACCACCAGAACCTGGGCCCCATCCTGGACCCATTAAATTAAATCCCACGTTAGGAGGCTGGAAATCCTGATTATTGAGAAACTTCCCAGGTGGTCCAATGTGCACCAGGGCTGAGAACCACTCTTTATACAGTGGTTCTTAAATTGTGGCCCTGCACCTGCTCAGCACTGCCTGGAGGCGTGTTTGAAATGCAGATTCTCGGCTCCGCCCCTGAGCTCTTGAATCAGAACTCTGGCAGTGGAGGGGCAGACAGAGGTCTGTGATTTAACAGCCCTCCAGGAGCTTCTGACCCCCGCTCAGGCTGAGAACTGCTGTCCACGCCTGGCTGCCCACAGTGTGCTTGGGGACCAGCGGCATCCGCGGCTCTCGGGAGCATGTTAGGAATGTGGAGAACCTGCCTTTTAACATGATCTCTGGGTAATTCTTAAAGTTTAAGAACCACTGCTCGGCGGCGGTGGGGGGGCTCCCACTGAACAAGAACAGTACAAAGCTGGCTGTGCAGCCCCCTCAAGGGCTCTCTGGACGGACTGCAGGAGAGCAGTGGAGACAGGAGCTGATGAGTGAGGGGCACAGGTGCACAGGAGCAAGGGCCCTCCGGGTGGGGCCCTGCAGGCAAGGCCAGGGATGATCAGTGTCCAGGCCTGCACGGGAGGGTGGCCTGAAGGACTCGAGAACGTGGGCAGTGGTGGCAGGGTGGTGGGGGGACGGTGAGCCACCGCTCTCTATGGTCCTTTCTCAGTCTCAGTTGGATGCTGCAGCATAGACAGAGGTGGGAGTGCAGGTGCAGCAGGATCCAGCTACCCCCACTCTCCTAGACTTCCCATCCGGCTTCCACCTTCCCCACTGGACACGGGGGTCCCAGGCCCACCTCGATGCTGGGCTGGGCATCTTCAGACATGAGTCTCACCGAGGCTTCCCAGCTTGCCCTCCAGACCCCCACTTCCTCAGCACCGCCCACAATTGCATCAGGTCTATCCCTACAACCAGCTCCGTGTCCACAGCACACCCACTGGTCCTGACTGGATAGAGCATTGCTGCTGGAAGAGGGGCCCAGAGGGCCAGAACTCCGGGATGGGATGTGGAACTGGTTCTCTGGCCTGCCTAGATTGAAAGACATTAACGGTCCCATGTTCCACGGTGAAGGGGGCACTGTAGACCACCCAGTACAAACCAGAGCCAGTAGATGACTGCAGACAGAGGGCGAGGTTGGGTGACCAAACGGCTTATGCCACAGTGGAAATAAGGACTGCAGGGCTGGTTGGTAGCTCCTAAGTGTGCTGGAGAACTTGGAAAAGGAAATTGATGAGCTCAGAGCTTAAAATCCCCGGCTCAGGGGACAGACGAGGAACCGGAGAGTCTACGCTGTACAGAAAGGGCAATGGCCGGCCTGGCTGCTCTCCTCAGAAGGGCCTGCCGGCAGGGTTGGCCCTGGGCTGGAGTCTGGGAGCTTGGATGTGAGAGGGTTCCCACCACCCTAAGGGATGAGAGGGGCTCGCTGCACCAGAACTTCTTATGTTGACTGTGTGGAGCCTGGAATTGGCACAGGCACTGGGCAGAGGTGCTGTGGGACCAGCCCCCAAAACCAGCCTGGGTGCGGGGCCTCTGGTGGGCTCCCCTGCTGTCCACACTTCACACGCGTCCTCACGACTCGTTGCTGGGACTGAGCGCGTCCTGCGTGACTCTGGGAGGAGACTCCAGAAGCTCTTACCTGGTTTCCCCCAGGCCCTGCCCACGCACCTTTCCCCGCAGGTTTCCCTCGCACCTTCCTCTCTAATCCAGCGCAGTGGGAGCGCGCTCGAGGAAGGGTCCTCAAAGAGGATCATCGACCTGGGCTGGTCTTCGGGACCTAAAAGCTTTCGTTACCTCCAATAGCCACAGGGTCCAAATTTCTGACAACGGAACCCAAAGCCTGATTTGGTGGGTGTCTGCTTTACAACACAAATTGAATTTACAATCTCTCTGGGTATTTCTTCTTAATTTTAGGGCAGAGTTTGGAAAAGAAACTGTCCATAATCATCTGGATGGGGACATATGGACAGACTATTATGAATCTGGGGAGCTTGAACTTCAGAACCACAGAACGTGTGGGTGAGGCAGTGTCCAGCATTCTTGAAGAGCCCTGGGGTGACCAAGATCCATGTGGAGACTGCCACCCTCGACACAGGCCCTGAGTTCAGTGGGGTGATGGGATCTGAAGGGGCAGGGCCACGAGGCTGCACTTACATGGAGAGACAAGGCGGCCATGGTACCGTGTGGTCAGTGGAGCCATGGCCCGACCCCCAGAGACCCTTGCTTTCGGCTGCTGGTGTCCCTGGGCTGGGACAGTGTCCTTTCCAACTACAGACTCACACTTCCTATGAGCGGGAAAGCTCTGCTCTGCAGACAGAAGTCCAACTTGACTCCACGCTTCCCGTGTGTGACTTTGCTCCACAGGTGTCCTACAGGCAGAGGACCCCTGACCCAGGCTGCCAGTGACTTCCCGAGGGTCTCCTCCTGCCTGCTTGTCCTGCTAGAGGCATCTCTGGGATTACTCGGTCCCTCCTCACAGGAGAGAAAATCTCAGCGTGCCCCAGTATCAGAGGAAATTGGGTTTGTTTCAAATACCAACTTTGAAATCAGTGCTAAAGATTTTAGAAATGGCCTCTGAAAAGATCTTTTTGTCTCAATTTGATCTTTGGATCAGATTCCCAAAAGCTGGTGCTATGATTCTGCCTGCCAGCAGGGTTACAGAAGCCCACAGTCCTCTGGTTGGGGATGAAATATTCAGTGTGACGGCTCAGGCAGGTGACGTTTCCTTCTCGGTCCCCAGCCCCATATAAAGAGGAGCCCGTGAGCTGCAGCTGCCCCATCCAGGCTGCACGGCTGGGCTGAGCACACCGGGCGACAGGTAACCGCCCGAGAGCCTGGACTGCACGCCGGGGCTGATGGGGCGGGAGGGCCTGGGAATGCTGTTTCTTAAATAGTTAAGTAGGGTAACTGAGGCAGGGGATCTCGCCTCAGAGAATGGTTTGAAACCATTGAAACTGAAGCTGCTATGAAAACACTCAGAACTGTCTTTGACCAGCTCCATCTTCCCAGGTGCCGGCCGCGTTGGGGAGAGCTGAGGAAGCGGGGCTGCAGCGTGGGGGTCTCACCCCTCCGGGTTCCTCCTGCTGCAGGTGGACCTGAGCGTCCGCGACCGTCGCCGCCGGGGGAGATGCAGGCCTGCCTGGTGCCGGCGCTGGTCCTCTGCCTCCTGCTGGGGCCTCTCGCAGGTGAAGGGCTGCTCCGGGACAGCTGCAGCCCTCCTGTGCTCTCCCCCTCTGTACCCGTCCCCAGACCTCAGGGACACCGCGGAGTTGGGCAGCTGGGCTGGGGCGGGTCCTGCGGGCCCCGAGTGTCCGCCCCCGCCGCTCTCGGGGGTGTCGGCTGGCCTGGGTGACAGCTCTCCTCTTCCTTTGCAGGGGCCAAGCCTGTGCCGGGGGAGAGAGGTACCATTCTCCGATCTCTTTCCTTCCATTTATATACATAAGACGGGTGCACCCGGTGGGGGTGGGGGAAGAAGAGGCTGCTGGGGAGGTCAGGGTCTCCTTGTCCCACGCAGATGCAGCAGGGTGCCCGGGCTCAGCTCCGGCCCGGGTCTGCAGAACATGGCCTCCCGCCAGCCCACAGCTGCCCAGCAGACGCAGAGGGACTCTGCCTCTTCGCCAGGGCCCTGTCGGGGCAGTAGGGAGCTGGGGCTCTGCGTGGCAGGGGGACCCTCCAGCCCCAAATGACCCCCTGATGTTTCCACCCTCAGACCTGGGCTCCAGGACCCCCACCCCCCGAGTCCTAACTCAGGCCAGTACCCCCTGGCAGTCTTCACCTGTGCTCTAGACTGGGGGGCCGTGCGCACCTCTGAACCCCCACTGGGAGGCTGCCTTGCCCCACCCCCACCACACAGCCCCCTCCCTGCTCAGCATCTCCCCAAACAAGGACAGGCCTCCCCTCTCTCCTTCCTCTCCCAGACCAGGCGTCCCCAGGGGCAGGGCCTAGGTCACCTCCTGCCATTCCTTGGATGACCCGGGAGAGGAAGGTGGCCTCCCTGCGGGCGGGCGCTGCTGGGCACCATCTGTCCGTGGGGGCCATCTCCGGCAGGAGGAGGGTACAGCCCCTGAGGCAGGTGTCCGGTGTCTTCCAGACCCCTACGCCGAGCTGCCAGCCATGCCCTACTGGCCCTTCTCCACGTCTGACTTCTGGAACTACGTGCAGCACTTCCAGACGCTGGGGGCCTACCCGCAGGTGGAGGATCTACGCCGAGCTGCCAGCCATGCCCTACTGGCCCTTCTCCACATCTGACTTCTGGAACTACGTGCAGCACTTCCAGACGCTGGGGGCCTACCCGCAGGTGGAGGACATGGCCCGCACCTTCTTCGCCCACTTTCCCCTGGGCAGCACGCTGGGCTTCCACGTGCCCTATCAGGAGGACTGAACTGCGTCCATCCTGGTGCCCACCGGGGTCTTCCCGGAGCCAGGGCCGCTGGGGGGAGTCGGGCCTGGCCTCACACTCAAACCCTTTGCTGTGGCTGCACAGCACACACCCGTGGGGATTCTCTCCAGAGAGGGCTGTGCCCAGGTCCCGTTTGCTGTATTACTTGACAAGCTCACCTGGCTTTGTCTTGATTACTGCTGAACGCTTTAATAAACACGTGCATGATTTCCATCCACTAGAGCTTCACCAGTGGCTCTGGCATCCTGAGCAGGCTCAGGACAAGCTGTAATGTGTCACCCTCTCGGCTAATTCTCACAGTGACCCTGGGGGTGTGGTTCCCCTAGATTACAGGTGAGGAAACAGGGGCAAAAACATACCAGGTAAGTGGACAACTTGTTAAGGTCCTGCAGCTGGTTAGAGGAGAGGCAGAGTCTCTCCTGCCTTTGCCCTAGGCACAGGTGGTCCTTTCCCTAGGCACAAAGCCGGGCAGCAGCCAGACCCACAGTGTCACGCACATGGCACACTGCTGAGATGAGGACGTGGGGGAGCCCGTCTGAGAGAGCAGTCAGGGCCTGGGCATGCCGGGTCCGCGTGCTAGGTCCCCCAGGAGAAGGCTCCGGAGGCTGCTGCGGCACTCCTGAGGGAGCAGACAGATGGACAGGCAGCACCCAGCATGTCAGGGACAGTCCTTGAGCAATGGGACAGCCTCTGTGCAGGTCGGAAGCACCCCCACAAGGCATGCAGGTGGACACTGGAGCCCCTGCCACTCAGACCCCTTTGGTTGGTTAGGAAATTGATTTAATGGGTGGCACCCCTTTGGTCAACACCAAGTCACAGTTTCCATGGTCCAACTTTCACTCAGTGCTTGAGAGTGACGTGCATCGATGTGTCATCTGAGGCTCTCCCCACATCCAGCCTTTGCTCCCTTCTCCCTGCACCCTGCCCTGTCCACTCAGGGCAGGTGGCCCCTGCCCGGGCTACAATCCCCCTCTCATCTTGGCTCAATTCCTGTCTCCCTAGAGCCACGACACCCCTGCCCCTTCCCTTCCACCCCGCCTACCCTTCCCCAGCAACCCAACCTCCAGGTCTCCCTATTCTAAAAGTTATTTAAAAAATCCCTGAATGACGATTGTTAAAACACGTAAGGAAGACTTTATTCAGGACTGTCGTGATGGGTGTAGGGACCACTGCAACAACGGGGTCTGGCAGTGGGGACAGAGACTAGGCACAACCCCAGCACGGCCTGGAGCAGTGGGGGTGGGTGGACGGAAAACCACCAGAGGGGACGTGGGCTGAAGGGGGTTCTTGCAGAGGGCAGGCCAGGGCGGTGGGCATCGCCAGGGATGGTGGGTGAGGCTCCCACCCCATAAGACCTGGAGCTGGGGGCTCAACCGGGTTTTACAGGGAAGCACGGCCGAGCCCCGGAGAGAGCTGGGGAGCCTGCCTCAGTTGTGGTCAAGCAGAAAACCCCAGTCCCTTCTCCTCTCTCCCTTTTCCCCTCTCTCGCCCTTTCCTCTCATTCACATTCCTTTTTAAAATGATGGTAAAATAAGAAATTTCCCATCTAGCCATATTTAAACGGCCGTGAGCACAGGCACATCCCTTTGCAGCCATCACCACCGTCCACCTCCAGGACTTTCTCTTCTTGCAAAGCGCGCAACCCCCGCCGCGGGGGCGCGCGGGCGGCCACCACCGAGCGGCGGTCCTCCGGCGGCTAGAGCGGCCCGGCGGGCACGCCGGAAGAGGCGGTGCGGGCCGGAAGTGGGCCTGAGCGCCGCGGGCCCGCCATGAAGCCGGCCGTGGACGAGATGTTCCCTGAGGGCGCCGGGCCCTACGTGGACCTGGACGAGGTGAGGCGGGCGGGGCGCGCTCGGTCGGCCTCCGCCAAGCCTGGCGCGCGGAGGCGGGAGCTGCGGGGACGCAGCGAAGGCCTTGTCGCAGGCCCTGAGCTGGCGTCAGGAGATGGGGCGCTTCCCTCCGGAGGGGCGACTGGAGGGCCTCTTGGAGACCCCGTCCGGAAGGAGCGGGCACAGCGCTGCAACGCGAGGGCAGGCGACCTCCTTCCTCCTGAAACTGCACCGCGCCGTGCGGTGACCGCGCCCGAGGCGGCTGCGGTGCGAGACCCCAGGGCCAGCCTCGCCCCCACGGGGCCCTCCCCGAGCTCAGGGTGCACGGACTGTCGGCAGCGCCCCGCCTCGTGGCTGTGGGTGGCGGATGCGAGGGGCAGGGAAATTGGCGGGGCTCCGACGGAGGTCCCGGCTCCGGGGCGGCTCAGCGAGGGGCTGCGACAGGAGCTGCCGCTGCGGCCGAGAGCTGAGGGACGCACGGGCGATCGCCCGCTGGACGGAGGAGAGGGAGAAGGCCCTGCGGCAGAGTCCTGCCGGCTGGCGCCCGCTGGGTCACAAGGGAGGGGACGCCACGCAGTTCACCGCGGCGGGGCTTACTGTGCTGGAGAGGGGTGTCAGCAGCTGGGGCCGGACCTGTCGTGGTGCTAAGGGGGGGGGGTCTCCAAGCACCCCCCTCCTAAAGCACTGCCACTAAACCCTGACCTCTTAGTCCCACCTTAAAGTCACCGCCTACTCAGTATGGAGCCACTGGAGGGTTTGACAGTAGGAGTGACTGACACGCTTCGATGTGCTCTGTGATATGGTCACTTTGGAGGGTTTGGAGGTTGGGTTTGGGTGGGAGAGAGTAAGAAGATGGAAATGGAGAGGAGACTTGAATAGGGTCTGGATGAGGCAGATGGAGGTAGGGACGAACTCAGTCCAGTATTAAGTGGTAGAATCGCCATGGCTTATGGTGGTGATGGGGACAGGGGAGGGAGGCTGAAAAGAAAAGGGAGGGGATTGAGCATCCTGAGCTTTTCTCTCAGGAAAGAAAGAACAGGGGAGAGTAGCCATGAAAGGGAACGTGGGAGGCGCTCAGCTACTTGAGAACCAGGGAAGGGTTGAGCAAACTGCCTTGGGAATGGAGGAGTCAGGGCAGCAGCAGGAGCCTTGAGAATGGAGGAGCCAGGGCAGGAACAGCAGTGGCCAGCTGTCTAGGATGCTGCCGTCAGAGGACTCTGCTCCGACTGTCACTAGGTGACTTTAAACAAGATTCACAATCATGAATGCATCAGATTGCCCAGCTTTGGTTGTGGCATGGTTTTCTCACCGCCGTAGAGTTTTGGCAGTGGAAGGTCCTATGATGGCAGTCCCCACCAGAACCTTGGGGCTGTTACAGGCCTGTTTCCCAAGGGAAATGGTTTCGTTCTCAGGAGAAAGCGGAAAAGGATCCAGAGCAGGGTCCTCAGGCTCAGTTTTGCACATCTGTGACTTCTGTGGCAGTGTCCAATAGGGGACTGGAAACGTCTACTTGAGGTTTACAGAGAGGTAGTGGGGCTTAGGGCAGTGGTAGGTTTCTTTTTAAAAGGCAAGGAGGAAACAAGAAAGCAAGTCCTTGAGAGAGCTTAAAAATAATTCCTTTGAATTCCTGCACACATTCTTTGTTTGAAACTTGAGCGTTTTTCCCATCACCCACCTTCCTACTCTGTGGAAGGGGCCTGGACACTGTAACTTATCACGTGTTCTCTCGGAAAACACAGCTGAAATAGCCCTGTTTTCCATTCCCAGGCAGGAGGCAGCACAGGGCTCCTGATGGACCTGGCAGCCAATGAAAAGGCAGTTCATGCCGACTTTTTCAATGGTAAGGAGCGGGGCTGTGGGATGCCACGTCCAATCTGAATGTTTCCATTGCAGGTGAGTGCAGTAGAGCAACTTTGTGACATGGATAATTTGGATCATAGAACAGTAAAGCCCAGAGCTTGTGCCAATTTGGAACACAGTGCAGAAAGCCTAGGGTGATGACAGTAGCTGTTAGTGTTGGCAGTCAGCCCTGCTGGCAGAGGAAAAGCAGCATGAAATTGCTCCCAGTCTTACATCCCAGTGGCTGAGTTTGAGCACTAGCATTAGCACACACACAGTGCAGAAAGCCTAGGGTGATGACAGTAGCTGTTAGTGTTGGCAGTCAGCCCTGCTGGCAGAGGAAAAGTAACATGAAATTGCTCCCAGTCTTACATCCCAGTGGCTGAGTTTGAGCACTAGCATTAGCACACACTTCGGGACACCTGAGACTGTAGCAGGGTCTGGTCCGTCGCCCCAGGCACAAGCACAGAAACACAGTTTGGGTCCTCTCATCTTGGCTCCCTCCTGTTGGCTGGTTTTCCTCTCCTCCTTTCTCAGCCTGCACCCATTTGCCCACCTGGATTCTTGTGCCCTCGGCTGCCAGTGCAGAGTAACAGCCGTGCTCCGTCTTCAGGCCTTCCCTGATCTCTGAAATCAGGATGCAGGCAATGTTTCCATCGCTTGTTTAAGGGCTTTAATGCTAGTTACCAAGAACATGGGTGAAGTTTTACCAAATAAATAGTGAAAACCTTGATATAACTTTATATAACCTTATATAACTAATTTTATATAAAATCTTCAGATTTCTTCATGGGGATATTTCTCTTCTTTTCTGATTTCTTAAGGCCTTGTTCCTACAGATTATATTAACCCTTACTCAGGGTTCAAATAATAAGTATAAACACAAGATAGGTTCTTACTCAGGAGAGTTAAGCGATATTTTTCTCCCTTTTTCATTCTACTTTAATCCATGGTGCTTGCCCCTAAAATGAACTTTGGTTACTACTTAGTGGCAGCCAGGATGTTGTCTTGGCCGCATTGGTTTCTAACTTACCAAAGACACCTGCAGTGCTGTTTTGTCTGGCTTATTGTCAGCCAGCTTTGCCTAACAGGAGAAGCTAAGCTGCTAGATGAGGGCGCGGGATTCCCGGGGAGCCTGGCCGTGCCCCTGAGGCTCCCATAAAGGGGTTTCAGAACTGGGGGAAGTGACATTTGAGCTGAACCTCTAGAATAGCATTTCTCTGAATTCTCTATGCTAGAGGGTGTGGGGAGAAGGGCATTGCCATCAGAGGGAGCAAATTGTGCAGAGGGATAGGGTGTTCTCCAAAAACGCCTTTGTGACAACACCAGCTCACGTGGGTGGCTTTGAAGATGCCTCATGCGGCAGGACTGTGTGATTCCTAATGCTGGCACGAGCGACTCCCACTTGGATGGTCTCCTTCAGTGTCCCATTTACCCTCTGTCAGCCCATTGGTTTAGACTTGATTGCCTGTGTTCAAGTGTTTTGAGTTCATGTGATTTCCAAAAACAGCCCTTTAATTCTGACAACGAGAAAGCATCTCTGAGAGGGACCCAGACCTGTCCTGTCAGGTGAGCGCTTAGCAGCAGGAGCAGGTTAGGCATGTTTCTAATCTGCTGGAGCAGCAGGGCTGGAAAGGAAAGGAGCGTGGAGGAGCTTCGTGCCCACTCCTGCCTACCCACCAACTAAGCTCATGAAGTGCACGGCGCCACACTGCCCTGCCCCATCAGGTTGTGACAGTCCCATGTGCTCAGAAGCCATTTGCCATTGAGAGACCCGAGTGGACATTGGATAGGGCTCTTCCAGGTCCTTTTTACTCTCCAGACAGATGGGTTCAGCTGGGCTGTTATCTGCTGGGCAGTGGGGTTCTAACCATAGAAAAGATCCCCTGCCCTCTCTCACTGTGTTTTACAAAGTAGTGGGGCATCTAGGCAGGGCAGCAGGCAGGGACAGTTCTGTGGGGAGAGCCCTGACAAAGGGTGGACGGGAGGTTTCTGTGGAGGTGACAGCAGAGCAGAGGTTTGAAGGAGTAAGCTGGGAATGGGGACTGGGCCGATTGGCTCAGAGCAGCAGAACCACACCGAAGCACAGGCTGCAGGAAGACACAGAGTGTGTCATTGTGGCTGCAGAGAGACAGGGCCCTCTGCAGTGGCCAGAGCTGCGTTGGGGACACTCCTCTTCCCCAGAAGGGCCATGGTGCGAGCATACCTCCTGCTGCTTCGCTCTGACCATCGAGGAGGTGAACTTCATCTCTAGTTCATGATTCATGCTACACGTTTTTAGTGCACAGTACATAGGAATGGGTTTTTAGTTCTTTCTTTTCCCATTGTGAAAGCAATATTTGCCCAAGGTAGGGAACATGGAAGCTGTATAAGAGTAAACCGAAGGATGGAGTGGCCATAACTGTGGTCACCCAAAGAAGTGCACTGCGAGTTGCTACGTTTCTTCCAGCAGGATCGGCACTTAGCCCATTCCTCTAGCTTGACCGTTGTTCAGATGCCCCGAAAGGGTGTAATTCTCATGTGACTCGGTCCTTCCACTGCCTTTCTTCATCCCACCCCCCAGCATTTTCATTCTCATGGTGTGCAGAAGGGTCGCTGTGTCTGTGCCCGAGGACCTGCATGTGCCTTTCAGCCTCCCACTCACGCCAGCAATAGCAGTGCCTTGACTGCAGTGGCTCTCAGTGCAGACATGGGTGTTCACGTGTACAGGGTGCTCAGCTGTGGCTGTGCCATGGCACTCCATGTGGTCCAGAACACCCCTGCATGCATTTTCTCCAGATTGTCTTATAAATAAAAACAAGATTAAAAATACTTTGTAAACAACGCTCTCTCCTTGGACTGTACCTGTGAGCCCTGTTTGGATAAAACTGAGAGCCTATCATGGGGAAAGTCCTTTTTGATTGTGTTGTTTACTGTTTTTTCTGTATTTTAAACTATCATATAATTCATTTATCAGTTGCTTGCCCTTGTGTGGCTGTTAATATGTGATTCTGTTTGTTTACCTAGACTTCGAAGATCTCTTTGACGATGATGACATCCAGTGAGGTGCTGTCCCACTGCTCGCGGGCCCAGCCTTTGTTACAGAGCAGCGTAGTGGACCTGCTCAGGGGACAGTACCAAATGGGTTTAAAGAACTGTAGGACCAGGTTAACCAAGAGGAGAAGAATGGTCTTTATCTCCTACATGACACTGTTAATACCTGAATGTGACCAGCTTTTGTCCTTAATTTGAATTAAAAACAACATCATCACATGCAGAGTAATTTTAATTCTTGCATTTTTGAGTGAGTATTACAATCCCTAAAAGTCTCTTTATGCATGTGTGTCTGTGCACACACCCGTGTCAGCCCCCTGGGAGAACCACGTTTGCATGTCAGCACAGCAGGTACATACTGTGCTGTTCTTCATGAGGCAGTATGGGGTGACTGAAGCCTTACTGTTTGTTGGGGTGATGTGTGTGCAGGGTATGTACAGGTAGTCCTGCCAGCAGCGCCCTGTGAAGGCCTTACCTTGGGTCCGGTCCCTTCCGCTGGGTGGGTGTATACACGCTGTGTGTTTCCCCTGTCCTAGCAGGGCCTCATGTTTCCCTTCAGCCTCCATATCAGAGCAGCAGCTGTCACAGACCTGAGGCTTAAAGAATTGGGACAACTGGATGATGACTGAAAGAGATGCCTTCTACGTGAGAAATGTATATGTTGGGCCATTTTTTTTTTTTCCTTTTTGTCTTTTTTTGTGACCGGCAACGGATCGCAACCCTCAGTGTCGCGCCCGTACAGGACCTGGACCGGCAACGGGATCGCAACCCTCGGTGTTGCGCCCACACCTCGCTCAGCCAGTGAGCGGCTGGTCTGTATGTGGGATCCGAACCCTCGGCGGGAGCGCCGCCGCGCTCCCAAGCGGCGCACTGAAGCAGTGCACCACTGGGCCAGCCCTATGTTCGGCCATGTAGCAGTGCGCCACCGCGCCGGCCCTATGTTGGGCCATGTAGCAGTGCGCCACCGCGCCGGCCCTATGTTGGGCCATTTTAAAGGAGTCTTTTTCAAGGAAAAATATAACATCTATGGGGAAAAGGGTTTTTTTTAAGTTTGTTATTGGCCCAGCTCAGTAATAATGGCTGTTAAAAATTAAGATGGCTATTTCGTATCAACCTCAAAGTGAAGAATGTTTCTTAGCCCGGGAAGTGCCCATGTTTCAGAGCTGAAGCAGAGCCACTGAGTAGGCAAGGGGGGTACGCCTACCTCTGCCATGAGACCTCGCTGAGTGGCAAACCCTTGATGGCATGTTTATGAAAGACACTTGTACTGAAAGCCAGGTGAGATTTTAAGCAGAACAGAATGTCAAGTGTGCCTCGTTTTCTCATGAGTGCTGAGTGAATTTCCAAGCTGTTGGTCTGACAGTGCTCCTGTCATTTGATGGAGCTCAGCAGCCAAGGACCACCTGGGATGAGCCACTGGTCTAGCATTACTCCACGTGCTGCAGTGAGGGCATCGTGTCCACGATCCAGGGAAAGACAGGATAGCGCTGACTGTTGTGTCTCAAAGCCCGTTATCAGAAGCTCCACACTGGGTTGGAAATCGAGGCTGTTTCTCAGGATTTCCAACAGCCAAGCTGCACACAGCCAATGATTTGAGAGCAGGGTTTCTCAGTGCTATGTGTACTTCAGGTTAATTCACAAGAGGAGTTTTTACAGTTTCCTAAATGGACTACTCAAAATAGGCATAGAAGTTTCTGTGGGAAACAACTCGGTATTTCGGTGAATTCTTTAATGATCAATTACCCATCAATTGAGGTTTACAACAAACAGTCCCACAGGGCTTGCAGTACATGGTGTTGAGGGCTGTGGTGAAAACTCACACCTGCCAGGAGTGCTGTGTTTCTCCCTGGGTCCTACTGAATCAATTCCCTTCTTTGGGCCTCTGTTTCCTTATTGGTAAGCAAAGATAATTGGTCTCTGAGACACCTTCTGGTTTGTGGATCTGTCTTCAGCAGAAGGGGATGATCTAAGGTAAGGAGAGCTGATGTGCAGTGACTCAGTGGCTCAGTGGGCCTGGTGAGGACGTGGCAAGCCCCTCGAGACTGGTCCCATGAGCCCCACAAGGCTCTCTTGGTCTCAGAATTTCAAACTAGTCCAAGCAGGTTTATGAATAGTAGTCTCCCATGTGTGTGCACATGTGTGTAGGTGTGTGTGTGTGTCACTACCTTCTGCAAATATTTAGTTCTGCATGAGCTCTGTGGTACCTCTGTTTGCCTTTACAGAACCCTTGCAGCTTCCTCAGTGCCATGAGGCCGAGACAGAATTTCCTTCCTCACCTCCCTGTGGCTCGGGGCCATCAACTTTAGCTGTCAGGAAGGGTGAACACCAGGTGGTAGTAACTGCAGCTGATTGTTGTATCTGTGCTGACTCCCTTGGTGAAGCTCTAGCCACCAACAGTAATATGTTTTCACCTACACTGACAAAGACATGTATTTTTTTTACTTTTTATGCCTAATTGCCTTAATCACAGAGACCTGTACACCATCGCTGCCACATTTAGAAAGCTTGCTGCAGAAGGAGGCTGTGCCACTGGTGACCATAAAACATCAGGAAGGCAGACCCTGGCCCTGGTGGGAATGCCTGCCTGCTCCTTGGACAGGAGACCGCCAAGGGCCAGGGAGCCTTCTGAGGGCTTGCAGAAGACTCTTCCTTGACAAAAGGAGGAAGCCTTAAGCATTACAATCCTTGGAATCTTAAGGAATGTGTTAGAATGCTTGTAGAAGGACAGCTGGCCCTGGGGCTGAAAGACCCCCTGGACTTAACCATCTCCTGTCTGTTTGCTCTGCCCACTGGCTTCTTCAGCCCATGGTTTGGGCAATTTCCATACCTTGTCTTCAGTACCAGCCTTCCCTGCCTGAGGCAGCATGTCCCAGCGAGAGCTTGAGGAAGGCCTCTGATTGGCCCTCCTCCTGTCAGGTCCCGGCCCCCAGCCAATCCACAGCAACCACACTCCCAGGTGTGGGAGGGGCCGTTCCCTGCACTGGCAGGGGAGTGGGGGGGGGGGGGCCCCCCCC